TTTTTTTTTTTTTTTTTGCCTGTGATTTTTATTTTCTAAAAAAAAGAAAAAGAAAAGAAAAACATTATGTAGCAACCTTGGAATATGTTGAGAAGGAAAATGCCAAACAATTTGGTATTTTTTTTACATTAGTAGAAAGTTGTATTACAGTAGGTGATTTTAAAAAGTACAGCTTTTTTATTTGTTGAATTAATCTTGAAGAAACACGTGCCTCCATTTTTAGATGTTTTGTCTTATCTTTTCTGCACTAAGTACCTGACCGGTTTGACCAATCAATGCACCTTTCCAGTGGCAAGACTTGCTATTGTAAATTATATTGTCACACAGCAAGACTTTTTAGTGACTGTAAAATGGAATAAAAATTAAGTTTTCAGGGAATGCAAAAGGTATTAACTTAAGAGACAAAACCTCTTACTCAATATGCATTGCTTCATACTGTAAATAGCTTTTTTTTCCTTTTCTCTTTCTTTTTTTTTTCTTTTTTGCTTTGTTTTGTTTTTGTTTGCTAGTGAACCTAATTGTAATCTTTCAGGTATTTTTGTATAAATGAGGGACTGATTCTGTTTCTTGTAACTAGAAATAAACATTCATACAATGATACTCATTTTATATTGCTGCTACTGTTTTGTCTTGGCTTTTGGAGGGGATACGCATGATAACCTAAGCAGGACAGTGTAAGAATTTACGTCTTGAAAGGGAAGCCAGCAAACATAGCATTATTTAGTAGTATCCATAGTCCGCTTACATCAACTCCTCAGTTTTCAACAAACTATGGCCATTCTGTCTGAGTGGAAATGTGTACTAAATGTACCCATTCAAAATGCTAAGACTCTATTCAAAGCTGCCCCTAGTTGAGTTGGGATTGGTATGCATCTCAGAGACCCTCCCAATGTCAGTAATTCTGGGACCTGTATATTATCTCAATTATAGTAAATTACCTATTGTGCATGTGTGGTTGTTTATTTAAAGATTTATTTTAAAAACCCCTTCAGGACAATTGTCCTTACAAACCAGTGTACAAAATAAGAAGACATTAAACATATATACATTCTGGCTGCTGGATTCTGTACACACTGAAGTTTCTGAAAAAACTATAAGGTAGCCCACAGCCTCATCTACAAAGTGCATATATGTGTCCAGAGGCAAGGACTGCATCCTCCCAAAAGGCTACAGTTGGTGAACCAAAACAGTTGCTAAAAAGCATTTCTGGCCACCTGTACCTTCAATGACAGAACAGAGGAATTGCCAATCTTGATTCTGTGGGCATGCAACTACACCCAGGTCAGCCACTAGCCAAATTACCAGTTTCCTCAGTGATACTTCCATCTCACTTGGGTTGTATGTCCTTATATATTCAAAAACTGCCTCCTGTCATCTGGTGCCAGAAGAATGCTGGATCACACCAAACGTCCCACCTACTCCCACATTCTGGTCACATAGTGGCCAACCGGCTGCCTTTGGGAAACCCCTCAAGTATCACCCACTCACATTTCCCAGCATCTAGTGTACCCAGACATCTTCCTCTAATGTAGCAATAGCAATCACGAACTCTAGTCATGGATACAGGTCTATCCTCCCTGAAGTTGCCTGATACCCTTTCAAAGCTGTCCTATTTGGAACTTCCACTGCCTCCTTGGGATTAGGTGAAGAAAGAAAGCTAGAGCAATGTGTCTTCTGCATACCAGTGATATTGCCACCCAAATGTTAGTTGATTCTCACCAGTTTCATCTAAATGTTCAAGAACATGAGGGACAAGATAGATTCTTGTGGCACTCAAAAGGCCAATAGACAACTGATAAAAGTAAAACTAGCATTGCTTTCTGGACTCAGCCTCCGGAAAGGACTAGAACCATGCCTCCAGGTCTAATACCATGCCTCCAGGTCTCATCCAAGCAAGAGGTTCCAGAAGGCTACCATGGTTGATGGTATCCATACTTAATGGAGCAGTTCAGGAGAACCAGCAGCCGTGTGCTCAGTTTCCTAGCATAAGCATTCCAGCAAGGCAGTATGCTAGAAGCCATACTGGGAAGGATGAGCAACCTATGGCCTTGTAGATGCTGTTGGATTGCAGCTCCCAACAACCCCTAGTCACAGTGGTGAGGAATAATGGAAGTTGCAGGTCAACATCTAGAAAGGCCTGTGTCCTCTCAAGACAGCCCAAACTGAAGTGCACCACTCAACCCAAGGATGTGTTAAACAATGGCAAATTTATCACTTGCCGATAATTTTGCAGCACCATCTCAATTCTTCTTCAATTGCAAGTTCACCATTGCTTCATTCATGAAGGCAGGAGCTATGCACTTTCTCAACAAAGCATTAACCACTTCCTAAATCCATACTGTAATCTCAGGGTAGCTTTTTCTAGTCAGGAAGGACAAGGCCCCAACAAGCAAGTGGTAGGCCTCAGCCCTCCAAGCAGCTTTTCACTCACAAGCTGCACCGGATGGAAAGAATCCAGAACAACAGGACCAGATGGTACCCTGGCAGAATCCATCTCGGGTTCTGTTCCAATTAGTGAGCCTGCATGAGTGAGAGTGTTTTTGTTTGGTTGCTAATAAGGGGGTTCACTTGAATGTTTAATATAACGTGTGAAGGGGTTCTCTGTGTAGTGTTGTTGTCACACACATTGGCCATGCCCCACATTGACTCCATTCAGGAGCCAAAAGGAGGGTTTTCTAGGCACATGTCAGCAGATGTGTGGATTCCCCCATGCAGTCTTCCTTTGCTCAGGATCCTTTCAAATGTGGAGATCTATAGGCATGGCCCCTTTCAGAGCTGCTACATACACATGTAACCTGAATGTGTGACAGCTTAAATGGTGTGATGAGCCATGCACTCTGGCCTGTTCCCTACATCTGTGGGAGCAATTCGGAGACCTTGCCATGTTGCATCACTTGAATGTGAGCAGAGCTTTGGGTAAATGGGATCCTCCTATAAGACTAGGAGACCATCTGCACAAGGTTAACATATCAGGATTGGGCAGAATTAGGTTCACTTCAACCAACCAAGCCACACAACATGTCCTTTTGAATGAGTAAGCAAGTACTCAGTTAAATATTTATAGATAGAAGTCAGATCAAAAGAAACATACGTGGAATTAACATAAAGGAGCATGCAAAATATAGGAGCACTCAAAAAAGTGTACCTAAGGGGAAAACAGGTCCCTACACAAGAAATCCACATGGAATCCACCAGCCTATTGTAATGAACCAGTCTTCTTGAAAACTTCTGGTCCCATGTGCAGCATCTCTTTGTGCCCAGCTATTCTAACCACAGAGTAGAACTAATGGGATAGGGTTCTTTACTCCAGTGTAAGTGCATGTGGCCTCAGAATGGATCAAGACTATGGTGCTATTGGAGCAGAGTTAAACTTTCTTCCCGACCTCCTTTTTCCTGAAATTCCACCTCCTGTCATGATGGAAGGGGTTAAAACAAGAGTGTCCATGAGTGTCAGAAGGGATTTTATCCTTCTTAAATCTCTTTCCCCATCCACTGCTGCAGAAGGTGTGGGGGGAATTTCAGAATGAAAATGAGTTTGTGGGAGAAGTCTTAATTTCCCTTCCAGAGGGCTACAACCTTAATCTGAATTGGGGTGGCTGATACGTTGGACAAAGAAACCTATCCTGTGTAGCTGGCTGGGTTCATATGATTAGCACAGAAAAGAAGCCACACTGGTTGCAAATGCGCAGCATGCCTGCGTATCCTTGCAGCATGTGGGCTGGCATACTGTCTGAACCAGCAAAGTGCACAGCAGGGTGTAGCTTCCACACTGTGCCAGAACCCCACACCATGGTTCCTGGATTGGTGTGGAAGCCACGCCTGTTGTGCACCTTGCTGTGGTGGTTTGAAAGCCACACCTGGTACATACCTTCCCCAGTGCTGATGACATGGCAACACATGTGCCACAAGGTTATTCAGGCAAATTGCATGACATGATGGTTTCTTTTCCCAGGTGGCTGGGTGAACCTGACATATTCATGAATACAAAAAGGGCTGGTTAGGCTCTTTGCATCACATCTCCGCAGCGGAAGTTCCCAGCTATCTGCACATTTCCAGTTCCCACTCAGACAGCACTTTTGCAGGCAGGCCTTACATAAGGCTGGAGGTGTGTGTGACAAAGAGGTGGTCCAGCAGGGCTGCAGGGTTACACCCCACTGGGAGTGCTGTATGTTTGAATGTGTTCTTCTTTACTGACAGATAGGCCAAATAATACTATATTGTGGCATGCCATACCTACCAGCAGGAGACACTTTTCCTGAGCTTTTCTGTTCTCTGTCCTGTCCTGTTTTCATGCTGCAAGAGCAAATGACTTCTCACTAGCTAATTTAAGGGAATGAACTCTGAAATAACATGGAAGATTGAGCAGTCTGCATGGATCTTGAGCCAGCTTCCTCAACTGGACTGTGAAGGAGAGAAAAGCTCATGAAACCATATGTAAAAAGAATAACCCAGCATCAGGACATGCTAAAAAGGAGAACACTGAATGGCCATTGAAGCTCAGTAGTTTGTCCCAAATGGCCATCAGAAACCACTGCTAGATTTGCACACGGAACCAGAAGAATTTTGAAGAAGACTGGTTCATTACAAAAGGCTGGTGGTTCCATCACTTGTGGATTTCTAGCCCCACCTTTCTCATGATGTGCTCTGC